AAATTACGTAAAATAATAAATTTAATAATAGAGAGCAAAATAATAAATGTAAAAAAACCTAGTGTAAAATAATGTAAATGTAATTACACTATTAATATAGCAAAATAATATATGTAATAATAAATAGAGTACAATAATGGCATAATTATAATAGAGTAAAATAATCAATGGTATAATAATAGATTAAAATAATAATAAATGTAATAATGATAATAATAACAGAGCTGATGAATGAATTATTTTAAATGCAACCAGGATGTTTTTACTTCACAAAAGAATATCCCTAGGTCAACAACCATTCTTATTTAAATGCAATGCAACACCTGCAATACTTATGATACTTATGATAAAATACACAGTATCTAAATAAAAAGAGCAAGCATTTTGTCCCTTAATGAGTTGTTGTTAGGGAACAGCTCCCCAGGAAACTAATTAATGCATCGCTTTCCGTGCCTATGGACAACACCTGGCCACAAACTCTTTTTGTGGAAATACAATTCCTTGCGATTGAACATTTTTTCAAGGTAATATTTCATTCAAAGCAAAAGAATATACTAAAAAAGGCACTCATTTTTTCATGTTAGGAGTGACTTTGGAAACTTCAAGTCGCTTCTGGTGTGAGAGAATTGGCCATCTGCAAGGATGTTGCGCAGGGGACACCTAGATGTTTTACCATTCTGTGGGAAGCTTCTCTCATGTCCCCACATTAGAAGCTGGAGCTGACAGATGGGTGCTCACCCCACTCCCCGGATCCGAATCACCGACCTTTTGGTCAGCAATCCTGCTGAAATAAGGGTTTAACCCATTGCGCAACTGGGGGCTCCTCAGCACTAATAATAAAAGAGTAATAATAGAGTAAACAAATTAATTTAATATTATGTATATATAGGTATATATAAATATATCATTTATAATTTAATAAAATAAAAAATAATAATTGTATTTCTTACCCGCCTCTCCCCTCATGGCTTGAAGCAGGTTACAAAATAATTAAAACACATAAATATTGTATTGTCAAAGGCTTTCATGGCTGGAATCACTGGACTGTTGTAGGTTTCTCGGGCCATATGGCTTGCCATAGATGCAGGCGAAACGTCAGAAGAGAATGCTTCTAGAACATGGCCATATACAGCCCAAAAAAACCTGCAACAACCCACATAAACAATGCAAAAACACCACAAATACACATATCAAAATGTATTTTATAAAAGATACATATTAAAACACGAAATACACATTAAAATACACAAAGATAAGGTAAAGGTTTCCCCTGACATTAAGTCCAGTCGTGTCCAACTCTGGAGGTTGGTGCTCATCTCCATTTCTAAGCCAAAGAGCCGGCGTTGTCCATAGACGCCTCCAAGGTCGTGTTACCAGCATGACTGCATGGAGTGCCGTTACCTGCCTGCCAAAGCAGTACTGATCGATCTACTCACATTTGCATTTTTTCAAACTGCTAGGTTGGCAGAAGCTGGGCCTAACAGCAGGAGCTCACCCCACTCCCCGGATTCGAACTGCCAACCTTTTGGTCAGCACCTCAGCAGTTTAACCCACGGTGCTCCCAAATAAACAAAGCAAGCGATTAAATAAATGAGTCCCATTTTGGAAGAAAATCAGGAAGTAAATAAATAATAAAGGATGCAAGTTTAAAATTCATGCTTAAAAACTAAATAAATAAAACTCACGTAATAACATTAAAGAGATATATGAATTAGTTTCTTGGGGAGCTAGTCTAAAACTCATTAGATAATTGTTATTAGTAATATTTTAATCCAAACTTGGGCCCTTCAGGTGTTTGGACTCCAACTCCCACAATTCCTAACAGCTTTTAATTGGGGAGCCGCAGACGTGCAATGGGTTAAACCCTTGTGCCGGTTGGACTGCTGACCTGAAGGCTGCCAGTTCCAATCCGCAAGAGACAAGGTGAGCTCCCGTTTGTCAGCTCTAGCTCTCAGCAGGATGGTACCACATCCGGGTGTCTGCTGGGCAACATCTCTGTAGACGGCCAATTCTCTCACACCAGAAGCAGCTTGCAGTACATTCTCAAGTTGCTTCTGATGCGATAACAAAATTGTTTATTTTTATTTATTTACAGTATTTATTTATTTACAGTATTTATATTCCGCCCTTCTCACCCCACAGGGGACTCAGGGCGGATTACAATGTACATATACATGGCAAACATTCAATGCCATAGGCACACAACAGACACACAGAGGCTATTTAACATTCCAGCTTTTTCACGAGGGTATTCTGGCCACCAGGGGAGCTGTCGCTTCACTGTCCATTTGTGACATTGATGAAGTACTTCCTCATTCTTTGAATGCTTGTTGGAGATTTTTATGGAGTCGTAAATTAGCCTTCCCCGCATAAGCGGTACCTAAATTTCCTACTTGAAAAATGCAACTGTCTTTCGGGCTGCAAAGTGATGTGATGTGACCACAATGTGATGTGGCAGCAAAAAAAGCCAATGGGATTTTGGCCTGCATCAATAGGAGCATAGTGTCTAGATCTAGGGATGTCATGCTACCCCTCTATTCCGCTTTGGTTAGACCACATCTGGAATATTGTGTCCAATTCTGGGCACCACAATTCAAGAGATATTGACAAGCTGGAATGTGTCCAGAGGAGGGTGACTAAAATGATCAAGGGTCTGGAGAACAAGCCCTATGAGGAGCGGCTTAAGGAGCTGGGCATGTTTAGCCTGAAGAAGAGAAGGCTGAGAGGAGATATGATAGCCATGTATAAATATGTGAGAGGAAGCCACAGGGAGGAGGGAGCAAGCTTGTTTTCTGCTTCCCTGGAGACTAGGACGCAATGGAACAATGGCTTCAAACTACAAGGAAGGAGATTCCATCTGAACATGACTGTGAGAGCCGTTCAGCAGTGGAACTCTCTGCCCCAGAGTGTGGTGGAGGCTCCTTCTTTGGAAGCTTTTAAACAGAGGCTGGATGGCCATCTGTCAGGGGTGATTTGAATGCAATATTCCTGCTTCTTGGCAGAATGGGGGTTGGACTGGATGGCCCATGAGGTCTCTTCCAACTCTTTGATTCTATGAAAGGTCAACAGCAAGCTAGGCAAATTGGTCGGATGCTGACTCCGACCCGGGCTTGCTTCGAATAATACGTAATAATAATAATCCTTTATTTATACCCCGCTAACATCTCCCGAAGGACTCGGTGCGGCTTACAAGAGGCCGAGGCCCAACACATCAATAAAACAACAACATAACAAATACAACAATAAATAAAACAAAACAATAAACATTAAAAGACTAGCAATAAACATTAGACAATAACATCACGAAGTCATGACCTTTTGGTCAGTTGTGATCTTAATGCAGCTGGGGAGCTATTAATAGAGAAACATTTTTAATAATATTTTTTTTGTTTTTATTCTTGATAAATAATAAATGAAATAAATTTAATAAAATTAATATTAATGATCTATTTTAACATGTATGCATTCTTACCTAAGTTACTACTACTATTTTGTTGTTGTTCTTATTGTATTCTCACCCATTTCTTTCTATTGATGGAAGCAATGGATGTAGGTGAACTACAACTCCCAAACTCAAGGTCAATGCCCACCCAACCATTCCAGTGTGTTCTGTTGGTCATGGAAGTCCTGTATGCCATGTTTGGTTCAATTCCATCATTGGTGAAGTTCAGAATGCTCTTTGATTGTAGGTGAACTATAAATCCCAGCAACTACAACTCCCAAATGTCAAGGTCTATTTCCCTTAAACTCCATCTGTGTTCATATTTGGACATATGGAATATTTGTGCCAAGTTTGGTCCAGATCCATCATTGTTTGAGTCCACAGTGCTCTCTGGATGTGGGTGAACTATAATTCCCAAACTCAAGGTCAATGTCCAACAAACCCTTCCAGTTTTTTTTCTGTTGGTCATGGGGGGTTCTGAGTGGGAAGTTTGGCCGAATTCTATCATTGGTGGAGTTCAGAATGCTCTTTGATTGTAGGTAAACTATAAATCCTAGCAACTACAACTCCCAAATGACAAAATCAGAAAATTTTGAGTGAAGGACATACATTAGGTTGTTAGGTGTATGCTTTCCAAATTTGGTGTCAATTGGCCCACTGGTTTTTTAGTTCTGTTAATCCCACAAACGAGCATTACATTTTTGTTTATATAGATAAATAATAAATGAAATTAATTTAATAAAATTAATATTCATGATATATTTTAACATTTCTGCATTCTTACCTAAGTTGCTATTACTATTTTGTTGTTGTTGTTATTGTATTCTCACCCATTTCATTCCATTGATGGAAGCAGGGAACAAGAACATATTAAAACACATATTTCAGCAGTTCATGCCATGTAACATAGTTAAAACATTTGTCTAAAAGGAACACATGCAACCAATACACATATAAACAATGAGTACATAATGTAAACTCCAAGGTTTTTAAATAACATCTGGATATATGTTATTTATTTATTTATTTATTTGGGATCTATTTTAACATTTATGCATTCTTAGCTAAGTTACTACTACTATTTTGTTGTTGTTGCTATTGTATTCTCACCCATTCCTTTCCATTGATGGAACAAGAACATATTAAAACACATATTACAACAATTAATGCCACGTAACATAATTAATGCATCTGTCTAAAAGGAACACATGCAACCAATACATATATATATAAATGTTTTAAATAAGTAAATAATAAGTTATAAACCATCAGGACATAATGTAAACTCAATAAACAATCAGTACATAATGTAAACTCCATGGTTTTTAAATAACATCTGGATATATCTTTGTATTCATTTATTTTTTTTGTTATTTAATATTTAATTTTTCTTTTACTTGCAGTGAAATTTGTCTTTTTTTGTTCTCATGTTGCACAAATCCTATGCAAAACCATAGTATGCATTTTTTTGCATTAATATTAATATATACAGGAAGTGTTTACTTAACAATATGTGAGAGAAAGACACAAAAAAAATATGGGGATTCGGAGTCCTCACCTGGGTCCGCGCCCTGCCTTTAGCTGGAGGTCCCTCCCACTGCTCTCAACCTCACTGCTTCCATTTCAAGACTGAGCAGCAGGCTGGCTGGCTGGGAGGTTATATAAGGAGAGGCGGAAAGAGCCGAAAATGAACGGAAAGAGCCGAAGAGGGGTTCCTTCCGCTTGACGAAGATGATTCGGCGAGTTGCCAAGTGCTGCCGGACATTTCCGAAAGCTTCCGAACCCTTCTCGGAACTGACGAAGAGGATCCAGCGAGTTGCTTGCCAAGTGCTGCCGGACATTTCCGAAAGCTACCGAACCCTTGTCGGAACTGACGAAGAGGATCCAGCGAGTTGCTTGCCAAGTGCTGCCGGACATTTCCGAAAGCTACCGAACCCTTGTCGGTCCAGCGAGTTGCCAAGTGCTGCCGGACCTTTCCGAAAGCTACCGAGCCCTTGTCGGAACTGACGAAGAGGATCCTGCGAGTCGCCAAGTGTAGTCGGACATTTCCGAAAGCTACCGAGCCCTTGTCGGAACTGACGAAGAGGATCCGGCGAGTTGCCAAGTGTTGCCGGACATTTCCGAAAGCTTCCGAACCCTTGTCGGAACTGACGAAAAGGATCCAGCGAGTTGCCAAGTGTTGCCGGACATTTCCGAAAGCTTCCGAACCCTTGTCGGAACTTACGGGAAAGAAGCGACGGCTGGAGCGGAGCAGCGCCGCAATTCCCTCTCCACGGAAATTCCCGAAGCGCTGGCGGAAATGTCCGAGCGCGATCGAAGGCGGTGTCGGCGCCCGCCGGAGAGCGCCGAACGCGCCGAACGCGCCTCCGGAAGTTGCCGAACGGCCGGGGAGGGAGGGCAGGCAGCGGCGCCACACAAGATGGCGGACGGGGAGGAGGTGACTCTGGACGGGAGGCCGCTCCATGCGCTGAGGGTCGCCGACCTGAAGGCGGCCCTGGAGCAGCGCGGCCTGGCGAAGAGCGGGCAGAAGAGCGCGCTGATCAAGCGGCTCCGAGGGGTAAGGGAGCGGAGGGGGGTCCGGACGGAGAGGGGGGCCCCGGGGCCCGGGCCGCCCTGCGCATGCGCAGCTGGGAGCGAGGCAGTTTCGTGCCTCCAAGCAACGGGGGCCCGGGCCCTGGGGTGCAGGCGGGAGGAAGGGCGCATGCGCGGGGCAATCGCCCACTCCTGCCACCTGCTGGAAGGGAAGAATATGGCATTTCACTAGTTGCGCTTGGAAGTTGGGAGGGGGAGGGGGAGGGGGGGGCTTTGCATAGGCCTGCACTTTGGCATCATTTTGGGGTTCCCTCCTTTGATATAAGCTTTGTAGATAAGTTGAGGCTCAGGTTGTTGCACCACGTGATCTCTCTCTCTCTATATAGTGCAAACTTGGGCCCTCCAGGTGTTTTGGACTCCAACTCCCAGAATTCCTAACAGCCTACTACAGCTCTCAGAAGCCCCCAGCCTGCATTCGCAGGCTGGGGGCTTCTGAGAGCTGTAGTAGGCTGTTAGGAATTCTGGGAATTGGAGTCCAAAACACCTGGAGGGCCCAAGTTTGCCTCTGTCCAATCTAGTGAAACTGTGGAATCAGGTTAATCTACTTCCTTATCACTTTGGGAATCTCACTTTTCTACTTTTTTTACCCCTTGTTTGAGTTTTCCTTAAGAGTTAGTTGCTCTCTCCCAGGATTCCCCAATCTATCTATCTATATTTATTTATTTACTTTGCTTGTATACCGCAGTTTCTCAGCCCGACAGGCGACTCAACGCGGTTTACAACAAGGGTAAAACGTCAATCAAAACAATATACAATTTAAAACCATTAAGAACATAGTATACAAAATAATGACACATCAGTAACAGCACAATAACATCTCGTAACTAGAATCGTGATCCAATTCGTCGTCCATAATTCCTTTCCTGTACTCATCATATTCATTGCACTGTTTATCCGAATGCCCGTTCAAACAGCCAAGTTTTTAATTTTCTTCGAAACACCATTAGCGAAGGGGCTGATCTAGCCTCCGTGGGAAGGGCGTTCCACAGCCGAGGGGCCACCACAGAGAAGGCCCTGTCCCTCGTCCCCGCCACCCGCACATGTGAAGCAGGCGGGATAGAGAGCAGGGCGTCCCCAGAAGATCTCAGAGTCCTAGTGGGCTCATAGGCACAGATACGTTCAGATAGGTAGCTTGGGCCAGAACCGTTTAGGGCTTTATAGGCCAATGCCAGCCCTTTGAATTGAGCCCGGTAGCCAATCGGCAGCCAGTGGAGCTGGTGCAGCAAAGGAGTTGTGTGCTCCCTGCGCTCCGCTCCTGTTAGTATCATGGCTGCCGAGTGTTGGAGTCCAAAACACCTGGAGGGCCCAAGTTTGCCTATATCTAATCTAGTGAAACTGTGGAATCAGGTTAATCTACTTCCTTATCACTTTGGGAATCTCACTTTTCTACTTTTTTTTACCCCTTGTTCGAGTTTTCCTTAAGAATTAGTTGCTCTCTCTCAGGATTCCCCAATACTTTCTATAGGCTTTTAGGACGTACATAGCCAGCACTTGATTTAAACACATATTTATTGTTGTGAAAAGTTTTTGGAAGCTCCCTTACCCTTCCAAAGTAAGTCACAAAGCTTATCCCCACTTCTCTGTTTTCCTATCTACGGTGTTCCCTCGCTTATTGCTATTTTTTGCTATTATCTCAAAATTTATAATGTTATAATGTAATGCAATATAATACTACTACTAATAATAATAACATGATATTATAATTATATATTTATATTACATGTATTATTATTAACTTTATTTGTACCCCGCTAGCATCTCCCGAAGGACTCGATGCGGCTTACAAAGGCCAAGGCCTCAATAAAACAACAGAATGACAAAAACACATAACTTAAAGCAAATCAAACAATAAAACAATAGCAGTAAACAATAAAAACAATACACCATAACACAATAAAACTAGGGCCGGACCGAATGTAATGGGTACAGATTAAAAAGTTCTGGGTGTGACAGGTGGATGTAGGATTTTAGGGTAAGTGCAATGTGCAGAACATCTTAAAACTCTGATAAAGTGCTTCTGAGACATATTGCTGGAGTTCCTATTCTGGAAAGGCACATTGGAACAGCCAGGTTTTCAAACTCTTCCTAAAGACTGCCAACGTAGGGGCTTGTCTGATGTCTTTAGGGAGGGTGTTACTAATATTACTAATAATGTAATATTACTAATAATATTACAGTATAATTGATATAGTACAATATAGCAATATTTAAAACATATTGTACTATGTTAATAATATATTGTATGTATATATACCTTGTAAGCCGCTCTGAGTCCCCTTTGGAGTTGGAAGGGCGGCATATAAATGCCGTAAATAAATAAATATTGCAAGGGTTACGTTCCAGGACCTCCTGCAATATGTGAAAAACGGCGATGTAGGGACGCTGTATTTATTTTAATATTTATACATTATTTTAGTAGTTATACACTATTTTAAATCTTTATAAACTTAAAATAAAGTGAAAGAAAGGCCCTTCAAGGCTGGAGGGAGGGAGGACTGAGGAGAGAAAGCGCCGCAGAGCGGTAGCGGCAAAAACCCACAAAACAGCAAAAATACCGCCAAATATATATATAGATATATATATTAAATGGGTTGTTGTAGGTTTTTTCGGGCTATATGGCCATGTTCTAGAGGCATTCTCTCCTGACGTTTCGCCTGCATCTATGACAAGCATCCTCAGAGGTAGTAAGGTGAACTTATGAACCACTGAGGACTTTAAGATCATCTCGGGAGGCCCTGCTCTCGGTCCCGCCTTCGTCACAACACGTTTGGCAGGGACGAGAGACAGGGCCTTCTCAGTGGTGGCCCCTCGGCTATGGAATGCCCTCCCTAGGGAGATCAGATTTGCTCCCTCCCTCTTGATGTTTCGGAGGCAAGTTAAAACGTGGCTATTCGAGCAAGCGTTTACAAATACAGAGTAGCTAATATAGGAAATCGAATGACCTGACAATGGAATTGGACAATGCTTGAGAATAATGAGACGCTGATGATGTTGCTTTTATTGCTTTTGTGATGTCTTATATTGTTCAATGTTTTTTATCTATTATGTTTTATGTATACTGATTTGTTGAAAACCGCCCTGAGTCGCCAATTGGCTGAGAAAGGTGGTATACAAATACAGTAAATAAATAAATAAATACAACAACCCAGTTATTCCAGTCATAAAAGCCTTCGACAATATATTTTTAATATTTTATGAAAACCGCGAAACAGCGAGTCTGCTAAAAGTGAACCGCGAAGTAGCGAGGGAACACTGTACCTCCTCCCCTTGTTTAACCTTTCCTTAAAAGTTTATTGCTCTGCCAAGAGTCGTTAAGGGCCCTTCCACATGGCCATATAACCCAGTATATCTGCTTTGAACTGAATTATCTGAGGCCCCTTCCACACAAATGAATAAAATCTCACATTATCTGCTTTCAACTGGAGATATTTGGCAGCGTGGACTCAGATATTGCAGTTCAAAGCTGATATTTTGTGTTATTCTGCCTTGATATTTTTTTTTATTTGTCATTTATACCCTGCCCTTTTCTACCACCTCAGGGGGACTCAAGGCAGGTTACAATGGCACATACACAAATTCACCTTAACATGGTTTAAAATTACAACATATTTAAAATGGTTAAAATACTGGATGGAAGGGCCCTGAGTACTCACTGCCATATAATCCAATTCAATGTGGATTTTATACAGCTGTGTGGAAGGGGCCTAATCCTCTGTATAGCAGAGCTTTCCATGTTTCAGTGTGCTTCTGGAACATGGCTATACAGCCTGGAAAACTCACAGCAACCCAGTGATTCCAGCCATGAAAGCCTTCTACAACACACTTTCCAAACTGTTGCAACGGCTGCAATGTGTCAGGCAAACTTAAGAAACTTGTGAGTCTCTAGACCCCTTCCACACAGCCATATAACCCAGAATATCAAGGCAGAAAATCCCACAATATGTGCTTTGAACTGGGTTATCTGGTTCCACACTCAGATAATGTGGGATTTCCTGCCTTGATATTCTGGGATATAGGGTTGTGTATAAGGACCCTGAGTCCACCCTGCTGTATATTCCAGTTCAAAGCAGAAATTGTGGGATTTTATTCAGCTGTGTGGAAGGGGCCCTAGTGAAATAATGTGCATGGATTTTACACAGCAGAAATGACGATTAGTATGATGCACTAGTCTATTCACCTTGGAAATATATTTTATTGTCTTATAAGTAATGTATTTTTTAAAATATCGATGAAAGGTTTTTGTGAGAGATGTTGTTTCCACATACATTTCGTTACTACAATCTGTGTATGCATCGATATCTCATAACATATTGGTTTAATAACCAGTGTGCTAGTAAAACTGAATTACTGTGTTGCAAAATGATGCAGGTCTATGTGTGTCAACAACATGAAATGTTTGGAAAGTTCTGCCCTATAGTATTTAGGTTGCACAAAATCAGCATGGCAAGCTTTGTAGTGCTGTGCCAAAGCTCTGCTGTTCCAAATTAATACACGTGTATTGTGACTGTGTAAGCATCCATACCTCATCCCAGTGTGCTGGTAAAACTGAATTACTGTGTTGTAAAATGATGCAAGTCTAAAACGTGTGTCACCAACATAAAATGTTTGGAAAGCTCTGCTCTATAGGCATTTAGGCTGCACAAAATAAGCATGGCGAGCTCCGTAGTGCTGTGCCAAATTTCTCCTGTTCCAAATTAATATACGTGTATTGTTACTAAAGGTTTTAGGAAGGTCTCTTAACCTGCAACGTAAGTACCAAAGCTTAACCTGCCGTGAAGCCAAAGTTATCTCCATTCTTAAGAGAGAGAGTTGCAAAGCCAAAGTGGAGGAGGTAACTTTGGCTTTATGACAGGTTAAGCTTTGGGACTTACCTTCAACAAATACTTCAAGATTGTACACAGTGAAGCGAGTAGATTATTGGCACCTGGCATGTTAGAGAGGCATTAAACAGTGGTGTTTTGGATA